TCCCCAGGAACGGGGAGATAGGGATGCTCTCTTTTGATGTCTTCATTTCAAACAGATGGCTCCTAGGTCTCTGAGAAAGACATTCCTAGGTTGGGAGAGCACTGGGGGGTTTGAGGAAAAGCAAGAATGCCAATGTGGCTAGAGCTGCATCTCCAGGGGTCACAGTGGGAGGAGATGAGTCAGAGAGAAATGGAGACAAATTGTGTAGAGCCTTATAGAGCACTGTAAGGAGGTTGTAAGGTTTCCTGTGTGTTCTAAAATGTGCCCAGGAATTGTTCAACTTGGTATGGTAAGAGGCACAGACCTGGAAGTGATAGGAAGAAGGAAGAAGTCTATACTCACAGATCCGTAGAAACAGGAGGCAGAGCACATCACGCAGGGCCACGTGGGGAAGACCAGGGTGGGTGAGGAAGCAGAAGTGGAGGAGAAAGCACTGTCCAGAGCCTTCCAGAGCCTTTGTGTTTTCCACAGGAAAGGCAGAGCAAACAGTTTAGGATGGGCTGATTTGAGTACTGTTGGCAGGCTTTGGGGCATAGGGGCTGTCCCTGTCTGCCTGGTACCAGGCCCTGGGATGATCAGGACAGAAGAATATTGTCTCCTGAAGTGTAAGGGCCAGAAAGAGGAGGTGGTTCCAATTAGAGGCTTTGGATTGTTTCATTTGCATACAAAAGGCATGGCCCCTACAAGTAGTTCATTATCTCTAAGAACTGGCTAGCCCTGGAAGGGGCAGTCTCTCTCTCCAGTGAGCAAGGCCTCAAATTCAGAGTATCAAGAAAATATAGTTAATATACTGTGAAATGGATAGCCATCACGGGGTTTTGAGCAGAGTGATGTCATCTGAGTTATGTTTTAAAAGGATCACTCTGGGTGCTGTGTGGAAATGAGACCAAGGAAGGAGCATGAGAGGAGGAAGGAGATTTTAGGAGGTTCTCACTGCTTTCCAGACGGGGGAGGGTGATGACTTAAACCAGTGTAGTGACAGGGCAGGTGGTTTATCACAAAGTACCAAAAACAGTTGATCAAAGAGGACAAGTAATCAAATTAGTACAAAAACATGGATATAAATGTAATGGCTTTATAGGATGGACTGGTTGTTTCTTTAAATCTGTCCATACTCCACACACTCCCTCCTTCAAATGTTAGCCATATTCCTGATGACACGATGGTGTATGTTACAGAAATGCTTTACTACATGGAGATGCTCAGGCAAATATGGTTGTTTTGCTGTCACAGAGCCTAGGCCAAGGGCCAGTCGGGTGGACTGTGTAGGAAAGTGTTAAATGAACAGTCTTTGGTTGCTCAAATGCTACACATTCCAAAGAAAGGACTTGCCCTTGACCAGCTCCAGGAAGACCACTTGAGTCCTTGGAATATCTGGCTGGTAAGAGTGATTTTTATGCCTGAGGCCATGGGTCCCGCTGTATCAGTTTGACCAGATAACTTATGGTAACAATGTAACTCGTACTGGATGGTGGGTTTTCTACACCTGAGGGCCCAGGCCCCCACATGAGCATCCATGGTCAGTCACGTAGGTACCACATGCCTCAGTGAAAACCCTGAACACTGAAGCTTGGGTGAGCTTCCGTGGTTGGTGACACTTGAACGTGTCGTCACATCTTTGCTGAAAGAATTGGGTCCCCGTGCGACTGCCCTGGGAAGGACACCTGAAAGCTTGTGCTTGGTTCTCCCGGACTTTCCCGCACGTGCCTTTTCTCCTTGGTGATCTAGATCTTTGTCCTTTTGCTGTAATAAACCGGATCCATGAGTTTAACCACTTTCTGAGTCTAGTGACTCCTAGCAAACCATCACACCTGAAGATTGTCTTGGGGAACAAAGAACTGTATATATACATATGTAGTTCTGAAAAAGCAAGGTCATGACCTGGATGGGTGTTGTGGTAAAGGCTTCCCGGTGGTGCTATTTGAGATGAGACGGGAGGGAAAGGCACTCACTCACTGGCCAGAGTCAGTGGGGAAGAGCCCTACAGCAGAAGGGAAAAGGACAGGAAATGGAAACAGGAACTGAAAAGAGAAGAGAGCTGAGAGTTGTGCAGGAGAAAAAGCAGTAACAGGTGTGTCCCACACCAGGTAAGGCCCCCTGGATGGGCCACGTTAAGGATTTGTGTTTATCCCAGGAGTTAAAGGAAGTCATGAAACACTTTAGGGAATGGGGGGTGTGTGTGTGGTGGTGAGTAGTACTTGATCAAATCTGAGCTGCATCTCTGACTTCAGTGTGGAGAATGGATTAGAAAGGAAATGTAGGTACAAGCAGACTGCATTAGTAAGGTGAAGCGGAAGTTGAGGTGGTTGGATGGACTAGGGAGGTGGTGGATGAGAGAGGTGGACAGACTTGAGTGGCATTTAAGGGGTAAAAGTGGCAACTCTCTTTGAACATGGGTGTGCGGACAGGGCGGTAATGATGCTGAGTCAGGGATCTATGTCCTGGGTAACTACATAGTGCAGGGGGTACTGAGGGAAGACTAAAAGTGGATCAAAATTGGGGAGAAGCAGTTTTTGAATCTTATTAAATCATGTGGAGACCAAGGTCCCTCTGAAACATCCAAGTGGGGACAGCAAGAAGACAATTAGGAATTCAGGTCCAGAGCTTCAAGGAGAAGTCAGGATTGGGGAAATAAATTTGTCTTCAAATTAAATAAGATAACTGAAGTCCGGGGCATGAGACCTTGGGAGAGACCTTGTGAGACAAAGTGGCCTGGGGCAAAGTCTTTAGATATTTCAACACTGCATGAGTGGCTAAAGTGGATGAGTCAGCAAGGAAGGAAAAAGACAGGGAGGGAGAAAACCAGGAGAATGATGTTACAGAAGCAAGGAAAAAAAGTGTATTTCAAGAATAAAGTGTGTGGGGGGGGGCGGGGGGGCGGCCCCGCCCAGTGGCATAGCTGTTAAGTGTGCATACTCAGCTGCTGGTGGCCCGGGTTCAGATCCCGGGCGCGCACCAATGCACCGCTTGTCAGGCCATGCTGTGGTAGCGTCCCATATAAAGTGGAGGAAGATGGGCACAGATGTTAGCCCAGGGCCAGTCTTCCTCAGCAAAAAAAGAGGAGGATTGGCATGGATGTTATCTCAGGGCTGATCTTCCTCACACACACACAAAAACAGAATGAAGTGATCAGGGGCTGGCCTGTTGGCACAGCAGTTAAGTTCATGCACTCTGCTTCGGTGGCCCAGGGCTCGCAGGTTCAGATCCCAGTCGCAGACCTACACACTGCTCATCAAGCCATGCTGTCGCAGCATCCCACATACAAAAAATAGAGAAAGATGGGCACGGATATTAGCTCAGGGCCAATCTTCCTCACCAAAAATAAAAATAAAAATAAATGAAGTGATCAATAGGAACAAGTTCAGTCTCAAGCAGAAGACAAGGGCTGAAAATTTATAAACATGGTAGTCACTGCTGACCTAGGCCAGAGTGGTGAAGAGGGTGGCATTGTAGCAAGGAGGTTCACAAGGCAGGGAGGTTTGGGAAGTGGAAAGTAAAGGTGAAGTGGAAATATTGCACGGAGAGGAAAACTGCCC